TTTTCCTCTAAACTTATCTACAATTTATGATAAAACCATAACATGTCATAATTTATAGCTGTGGGGTACCTACTACCACCCAATTGATCGTGAGGCTATGGCCTCGTGAAATACCCTATCACGCCGTGTAATCACTGGACTAGCCTAACTACAGTATGGCGTATAATTTGTAATCATGCAAATAAAGGCTATATACCTCTAATGGCTAATAGGCATTTATACAGTGACCTACCCAACGACGAGTTACAACCAACACCTATTGTACAGCAAATAGTGGTTATCTAATTTTTTTTATATTAGTACATAATAAGGTATACAGTGTGTAATGTGTATTAATTTTTGCCAAAAATAAACCGCATAATATATTAAAGTGATTAAACAGTAACTACTACTAAGTAAGTTAATTCAATTAATATTATTTCTTATAAAATTACTAGCTGTTATTAGCTTATCATAAGTCAATACCGATAGTAGAATGGTAAGTACCTACACTCCGCTCGCCAAGGGAATGTGGTTAGATACTTCACGTCTTCACTCATAGGCATGACAATGACAGTTGCTAAGGATTGGGGATTTGGGTTTTTTTGCGGCTGGATTCGCCGTGTTTTGGTATGTGCGCAATCACATTCTCTCTTGAGTGGTGAAGAGCTAAAATGTAATTGAGGACAACATTGAACACGGCAGTTGTGTACCTATTTTGCATATACTATACGCCGGACAACACTTTATGTTTTTCGCGAAGTATTTAAAACAATAATATGTCATTACTACATTTAGTAGGTATAAACCTTATTTTTATCAGTATTTACACCGAATTTTAGCGTAGTCTATACCCTAGACATGTATAGGAACTAATCTTAAATATTAACAATACCTCAATTAATCCAAAATGTAGTTATACCTATAATAATATTATATAATGTGGATTAAAATACAAATTTACAGAGATAACTATCGCACCTAATAAAGTTTTATAGTTTTGTATAATTAATTTATAAATTTAACTAGTCGAAAAGTTAGGTTTGTTTTACCAAATACATCAACTTTAGCTAGTGTTTTTTGTATTTTCTGTGACTTTTCTACATTTATATTTGTAATTATTGTTTATTTACATAATTAATTTATTAGTTTGGGGGACGAGGTGGCCAAGCGGTCTAACACGTCGTCTGCGGCGCTGGCGGTCGCGGGTTCGATTCTCTCGGCCACTGGGCGGCATTTTTCTCCGGGCAAGTCACGGTGTCCGGAGAACAAGTGCCGCCATCCCCCACTCCGGGGCATGGCAGAAACCTACGGGTGCCCCATTCGAAATTCTGCCAAAATACACCCACGTGTACCAACCTACAGTTTCCCCCCTACAGTACCACAGGCTAAAACCTTGCAGTTGATGCCTTTAAAAAAAAAAAAAAAAAATATTAGTTTACTTTCGTTTAGATAAACAGCTGCACTTAATTTTGACAAGAACCGGAGTGGTCCAAACAGTTAATAATATAATGACACTTTTCATTTACAACAGTTAATTGCGGTTAATCGTTTTCGATGCAGTCTGCTTGGTCCTATTGAGGTACTATCTATCTGAATTTTAACGTTAGTCTACATTATAATATATAACATTACAATTCACGAATTTATACATATAACTAAATAACTTATAATGTATATACTATATACGGTTAGTGACTTATAAGACGCGTTACACATGGGTTTTTTTTTACTATTTTTATATGGTGAGGCTTTTTTAAATCACAAGACTTTATAAACATATATAAAAACAAACACATTATGTTCATAAAACACAATTTCCTAATTCAGATTAAGTCAATATGGTGGTGGAGGGGGTGTTTAATTTTAAACAGACCAATCCTTGTGTATACTTCTTTGTAATATTTACGGCATGTAGATCGATGAGTAATATAAGGATAAAAAAATATGTAATTATACATACTACAGGTTTATAATTTACATGTTTATTATGTAGGTATTTATTTATATTTATTAGTGTAGTTCTAATGCGCTATTTAACATATATAATATTTATCCAACATTACAGTATAGTATATTAATATATTATACATTTTTTTATGATTTTTTAAATTTTTAAACCAAAAAATACAACATGACTTTGGGATAGCTTATGAAAAAAAAATTATAATCAATTGTTATAAAATAACGAACAATATTTTTAACCAATATTGCATTATTAATACAGACGTTTCGGCATAACCGCAGGAACACAATTATTATTATTTGTTAGTACGTTTCTTATATTTCATGTACCTAATGAATTTTACGCAATATAATATAATTATTATTTTTTTGTATTTCTGTTCGTTATGACTTATGCCTATTATATCGTTCCCATAAAATTACATCGCTTTTCATAATAATAATAATATATATATTATATAGGTATCGTTAAAACATGACACGAACGACTTTCGTTTTCATTTTGTCTTCAACAAAGGTAGGTAATGTAAAAACGTAACATTGTTTTTAATATTAAGTTCACGCTCGAACGATAGGCTTTTTTCGATTTATATAATATATATATGAGGGTATTTATGCATAATAATATATATTATGGTATATATAGTATATTATAATGGCAACACGTTTAAAGCGATGAAAACGTATTTTTGGCTGGCCAAAGTTTTACCGTCCCGTTTGGCAAACACCTTTATAAACTGATCGTCATGGGCATTTTATTATAATATAATAATATTCCACGTTTTTAAGAGAAAAAAAAATCATAAAGAAAGTTATAACACGTTAGGTATCTTTTTGAAATAGGCAGGCACCTGGCACCGATAATATTATTATTATTGTTGTATAGTATACCTATCCCTCTAAAATATAATATTATTCTCTACCAATATGAAAATAAGAGGAAATGCGAGCACAGTATAATAATATTTTAATGACAGACAAAAACTCGGGCCTTGACCCAAACGTATCTTATTCCCGATCTACGCTTTTATTCTTTTATATAATATAGACTTACGCATTTATTTCGTTTTTAATATATAATATTAATTAAGTACCTAATAATATTATTCGAATATAATACAATATTTTACATAAATAAGTAACAATAACAAGATAAACAGTACATTTCTTTACGAATATAATATAGGTAGGTATATTTTGTTTGACTAAAATATGTTGTGTTATTGTTATTATTGTTTTCATTTTTTTTTTTATTATTCGAAAAAATGGTAAATTATAATTTAGAGAATAAGTATAAACGAGATTGACAAGAAACATGCGTCTATTAAAAAAGTCGACATAACGTTTTTATCTAAGATATAATATTATATTATCGTTATCCGTTATTACGATTGACTAGGAATGAGGTATGATGAGGTATTTTTTTTTTTTTTGTAAAGATAATATAATTTTTGTTCCAATGATTCATTAATAAACGCACCTCTCCGGTCTTTCCGAGGATAACAATATTATTACAATTAAATAACGAAGACTATTTTATAATAACGTGTTAAATCTATCCGATCAAACAAAACGTAATGATGATAATAATAATAATGATAATAATAATAATGGTGGTAAAATAGTATTTACACAGAGAACTTAATATAATTTAATATATATTTATTAATAATAATAATAATAATAATAATACGATGGTATATTATTTTCTGAACTAGGTATAGGGTATGTAGGTGTATTAAAACTAAATAATGTTTACATGAAGCGAATAACAGTGGCTTAGTATAGAACAACACCCGCTGGAGGGTTAACGAAGATAATATTATAATTTATATATAATATATAATGTATGTATTAATGTAATATTATTATTTTTAATTTTTATTATAAGTAGGTATATAATTTCCGTCAAGAGAAGGAGAGAAGAAAAAATAAAACGATAAAAAGATGAGAGTACCTACCTATGTATAATATATTACCCGATAGGGTGATGATATATAGGCAACATATTATATAATATTATTACCTGCAATATTCTACCAATATAATAATAACGAGGAGAAGACATCGGTGTATATTATTATTAGACGTTTTGTAATAATTACAGTTATGTCGTTATTTTTTATGTTTTTGTTCGGTATCGACAATAATTTCGTCTTGCTCTTAAATACAATATATTATTATATGAAGGATCTGCCAAGATTTTACTTTGGGGGTAGGGCTGATAATTTGTTTAGGGGAGGCTTAACTGGGATCCTTCATAAATTTGGTATGCTGATGTAGGGGGTAGATTTTAGACTTTCGCAGTAACCTTCATAAAAATTAAAATTTTAATAAACGGTTACACATTATTTATGGTTAAGCGTTTTCAAATTTTCCGGAAATGTCGGTATGGTTTTCAGCCCATTCGGCTATGCCACTGAATTATGTTTTAATAATACTCACCACAATAAGGCGAGGTTTTTTTTTACAATAACTCTAGACGGCACCTGAACGATAAACGACGATAATTAAGTGTATCAGGTAGCACGGACGTATAAATATTTTCTATGTTATATATTATGATTTTAATACGGATTATGAAGGGATATTTTTTGTTTTGTGGAGCTGGCGGGGGAGACGTTGAATGGTGAATATTACGGATTGACGACAACGGTAGTTATTACATTATATAATTATAATCGCCGAAGTTTATGTAAAAACACGCAACGATAATATCGTGGTACCTATACAATTATTATCATATAATGTTTTTTTTTTTTTTTTTAAGAAATATTTCAAATAATAATATTGTAAAATTGTCTACTATGAGATAATAATACACAAAATTGCGCGTTTTCTCGTTTCGACAATAATTATCTATTTCGATATTATTTTATAGTGTACCCATATTAGCTAGGTATAGGTGTCTGTTTGTATTTCAGATTCCGATTTGTGTGTCGTTTAAGAATTATTTCTGCATAGTATTATTATATCCAATTGGGACGCCTGTGGTTAAGCGATGACTTTGCCGGCGGCGATGTTCTGTCGTCCGGTCGGTTCTCGTATGACTTTCTCTAGTTTTTGGCGTCGTCGTCCGGATCCTTCAGCGTGTGCCATTGAGCGATCGGACGCCTTGGCGACGCCAACATGTCGGACCAGTGCCGCAGTTCGGTGCCGGTGGCATTGTAGCCCAACACCACTTTGCCAATGGGTTCGGACGTACCGATGCGATCGTAGTCGACCACTGTCACTACCAGGTTGACTTTCTGCAAAAGGATTTGAACAACATTATAAATTATAATATACATTTTATTTTATGATTGATATCAGCGCTAGGCTTTATGTTAAGCATGATGGATATGTTTATTTTGTAGCGTTATTTTTACACGTCATTTAATTAGTACCTTTTATGACCACGAATAGCCTCATTTACATATCAGTTTATATACAGATCTATTTTTTTTATTTTACATATTTTAACTATTAACACGAAAAGTGCATGTTTTATGTATGTTTAAACGAAAATATAGTGTAAAAGGCTGGAAGCGTCATCATTGTGATCTCATAAAATCGGTGTTTTTATTGTGTTTGACGAAAAAAATAAATCACAATTGTTATGGATTTATATAGAAGCAAGACTAACAAAAGAGAGTTAGTTTACATAATGAGTAACGTTATTTAATCTAATTTTTAAATTATAAAATGCTTGCAGTGGCGGATTTTCAACATTTTCTGAGGGATGGGGAGATCACGATAAATAACATGTATTTCAAAGATATTATTTTTATTTTTATTAAAAACAAGTATATCTGTATTTTATATACATAAAATAGATATATAATATCGGTGTCTGGGGGTCTAGTCCCTGGACTTTCTCCGTAAATCCTAGGCTGCAGAATGCTTCGTTCAATTAATAATAAGTAGGTAGTTTGGAAATTATTGGTAAATTAATTGCATATTTTATTATATTTCTATTGTACTATAAATTATTCTAAATTAAACATATATTTTACTAGGTATTTTATATTGCATATTATATAAATCCTAGCCCTAATTGTTATATATGATGTATTAGTATAACAGACTAATGAGTATGCTTAGTTGCAACTAGCAAGTGTAGGTAAGTTGTAAAACCAGCACGAACAAGACCCTCCTCAAAGGATGAGTATATGTTATAATTATTGAGTAAGTAGGTAGATGATTAATAGTAGATTATTAATATTATTTATCAAGCATATGTTATAGTTATTGGTTGCATTCAAAAACTGCACACTTTTTTTCAATTTTTATGTATATTATTTTATTTATTTTTTATTTTAGTTTTCCCTCTCCTTACCTAAATTATATTATATTTTATTATGTACAGTACACACTACACACACAATTGATTTATATATATATATGTATTTTTTTTCTCTCTCTCTCTAATTTTTTCCCTTAAAACTCAAATAATTATCTTATATTTAAAATGTAATTGGAACTTTATCAGTAATAAAAAATATTATTATTATTATTATTCCAGCCAAATACTACACAATATTAGTGTTTTCGTCCATAGAGTGGTTGTCATATAGCTTTGTACAATTATCTTGTATATGTAAAATAGTATATACTATATACTTTGTATATAATAAACCTATATAAAATCATCGAAGGTGTTTTTTTAGTTCCGATTTATTATAAAATGAGATGCGTTAAGCATGGTTTAAATAAATGTCCGCCGTCCTGTTTATTAATCTTGAAAATAATATTATTCTCAAAACAATATAACAGTTGATATTATTACTGGTTATTACCTAAAGTGTATATAAAATACCATCTATCGATGGTCGAGAAGAACACGAACGGCTCGTGAAGGTTGGCAAATGGATCGGTATGATGGGAATAATCATTTTTACTTCAAGTCAATAAAGTTAATTTAAATAGGATAGTTATTGCATGCGTTGTATGTAAAATTCGTGTTATGTAGATAGGTAGGTACTAGTGTGCTATGGAGCACATACAAAGTAGAATATCGTATAGCCCCACGTGGAAGAGTAGCGTGAAAACTTCTAAAGATGTATAAGTGTATAACTATTTTTATCATACAACATTACTAAATTTAATTAAAATCATAAAAGTTGGATTACAAAATAGTACAAAATACATCAAAGTATTGTGTTCGTGACAGGTATAATGAAACAAGTTCGTTGCATATATTATAAATTTAAAATGTATGCCTACAAGATGATTGTTTTAAATGTAAACACTAATTTTCTCGAAAAGTTTAACGTTTTTTGGATATATATTTTTTGGATAAACATTTTGCTGTTAAAATGATAACCATTTTTTTATCATTATAATTTTTGTTAATTTTTACTTTTTTAATAGACAGCATAAATATTTAATTTCATACTCAGGAATTTTTTTTTTTAATTTAAATACATACTAAACTAATTTTGAACATAATATAATAATATCATTGTATAAGAAAAATGATTCTGAGCGAAAACGTTCAATCAGCCTATGATATTACCAGTGCCGCTCTAACCACCAATAACGCCTTACGCCAACAATATTTGACGCCCCTCTCCCTCCCACAAAAAAATCTTGACTTCACATTTTTAGCTTATAATAATTAACCACATAGGTACCTTAGATATGTTTAATACTTATTATTTAAAGGTTCCTACTTATTTTTTTATTCTTAATTCTTATTATTGGAATAATATTTATTTTGTTTCTATGATTTTTTCGAAGTTGACACCGATTTCATTATTCTGGGTACATTACAGTATTTTCACAAGTTAGTAGATTTTATTATAAATCATAGGTTCTGCGTTTCTGCGTGGCGTGTATAACAGTAAACATTGTAAATTGTACAAGTGATATGTGAATATAAGTGAATATAATATACAGAATTCAGTCAAACTACACTAACTCGATTTATTTTAAGAAGTGGGTAAAATTTATAATGAGTTGGTTATAAGTTATAACATAATATATCTTTGCGTATAATAATTACAGTAGCACAACTACCCGGGGGTGAGGGTTGTTGATCACTGAAGCCTATAGACTGCAGGGACCCCAGGCACCAGCTCAACTAGTAATTTACTATTTTCATATTTGATAACAAATATCAAAACACATTATTTTAATGTATTTATGTATGAATCAAATTTCACTGTCAGTATATCTTGATGTGTTATTGCAACATTATTCCATATATATTTAAATTAATGATGACATTTCTCCATTATATTTTACCAGGCAAATTAAAGGAGGATTATTAAATACAATAATTAAGGATCTCGCTTTGTTTATAATTCAAAATGGTTTCTGTAATTCATACTGCGATGTTCTTAAATTTGTTGATTACGAAACCAGAAAAAATTGTTTAATACTACCAAAGATATGAATTAGTTTACTTAGTTTATAAGTATATTACTTAATTATTTTAATGATGTGTATTGTGTATACGTATTTAAAATATATTGCATGTAAATAAATTACTATTGTAGTCTTATAATTTATAAGTACCTATATTAATATTAGATTCTGAGCGGAGCGATGAATGTATTGGTTTTACAATGATGTGTGTTTTTTTTTATATTTTTATATTTTTATATTTTTATATTTTTGTGTCTGTCATCACGTTTTAGGACAGTAAAAGTGCTTGGATTTTCTTCATCAGTAGCTTTTCTGATAGGAAAGTGAATCTAGTTGGTACTTTGGGGGGTCAAAAGTATAAATTTCCCAGTAGTTTTCACAAGCGCCTGGAAAAACAACATAAAAATTAAGGAAAAACGGGAATTTTTACGCAAAATTGGTTTTCCAAAAAATCGATTTTGGTTATTGGTGTAACTCTAAAACAAATGAACGTATATACATGAAAATTGCACTGGTTGTTTATAATTGCATTTTCTATACACGATAACATTTTCAAAATATTTTGATTTATTTTGAACTGTTTAGGGACATTTTCATTTTTCATTTTTTTTTTAGTTTTTTTTCTAAAAATATCAATAAAATTTTATTTGTTGGTTGCGAAAGCTTCAAAATTTAATAGAAGGCTCCTAATATGTTGTTTCAAAGGCAGATGAAAAATATTAAAAATCCTTAGTCACAATTTTTTTTATAATCATTTAAAGTTCAAAAATTGACAAAATATGGAAAAATCACTAAAATTAGCAAATTATTTTGAGTTAAGAATTCGTAAAAATTTTTCTTTTTAAATCTAAGATTTGAAAATGAAACACAAGATTCCTTATAAGATTATCTACCTTTATCAATAAAAAAATCTCTACCGGACAGTCAAGTTAAATTTTTATGAGCGTTTGAAATTCAAATTTTTACAACATTGGATATTCACTCGATTACTCATGTAGCGATTTCTTTATTTTGTTGCAATTCAAAAACGAACAACTGTAGATACATGAAAATTTCACTGAATGTTTAAATTAGCATTTTCTATACACCATACAATTTTGAAAATATTTTGACTCTTTTTGAGCTGTTTATGGATATTTACAGCTTTCAATTTTAGATTCTGAGTGAAACGATGAATGTATTGATTTTACAATGATGTGTGTTTTTTTTTTTATTTTTTTTTTTTATTTTTTTTGTGTCTGTGTACACGATAAGTAGTCGAAATAATGCTTCGATTTTCGACTTCAGTATCTTGTTCGATTGGAAAGTGAATATCGTTGGTGCATTGGGGAGGTCAAAATTTAAATTTCCCAGTAGTTTTCAAGAGCGCCGGGAAAAACAAAAGAAAAATTAAGGAAAAACGGGAATTTTTACGCAAAATCGATTTTTCAGAAAATTGAATTTGGTTTTTGGTGTAACATTAAAACAAATGACCGTAGGCACATGCAATTTTCACTGGTTGTTTATATTTGCATCTTCTATACACGATAACATTTTCAAAATATTTTGATTTATTTTGAACAGTTTAGGGACATTTTCATTTTTAGTTTTTTTTTAGTTTTTTTTCTAGAAATATCAATAAAATTTTATTTGTTGGTTGCGAAAGCTTGAAAATTTAATAGAAGGCTCCTAATATATTGTTTCAAAGGCAGATGAAAAATATTAAAAATCCTTAGTCACAATTTTTTTTTATAAGCATTTAAAGTTCAAAAATTGACAAAATATGGAAAAATCACGAAAATTAGCAAATTATTTTGAGTTAAGAATTCGTAAAAATTTTTCTTTTTAAATCTAAGATTTGAAAATCTAATACAAGATTACTCATAAGATTGCCTACCTTTATCAATAAAAAAATCTCTATAGGAAAGTCAAATTAAATTTTTATGAGCGTTTGAAATTCAAATTTTTACAACATTGGATATTCACTCGATTTCTCATGTGGCAATTTCCTTTTTTTGTTGTAATTAAAAAACGAATTACTGTAGATACATGAAAATTTCACTGAATGTTTATATTAGCATTTCCTATACACCATACAATTTTGTAAATATTTGAAAATATTTTTTAGTTTTTTTTTTCTATAAATATCAATTAAGTTTTATCTGTTGAGCCAAAAAGTGTAAAAATTTAATACAAGGCTCCTGATATATTGTTACAATATCAGTTGAAAAATATTAAAAATACATAGGCACAATTTTTTTTTATAAGCATTTTAACATCGAATTTTGACAGAATTTTTCAAAATCTCGAAAATTATTAATCATTGTAATTAATAAATTATAAAATGTTCAGTTTTTATAGCTAAGGATTGAAAATTTAAAACAAGATTCCACGTAAGTAGTTAATTCTCTTACCGAAAAATCTAAAAAATATACAATCACAGTTTATTTTTATAGTCATTTTATGTTCAAATTTGGACGAAATTACATATTAAAAAACCTAGTTATTTTGTTGTGATTATAATATAATATTATTCGTGGGTACCTACTTGAAACTTCTAAAGTGTACTATTATATATATATGATAGTATCAGGGTTTGTTGTTAATGTATAACGTGTTATAAGTACCTAATGGATATTGTGATAATGTGATATGATTAATTTGGAATTTATTATAGGTCAATTTTTTTTTAATACCATAGATATGTATATAATTTGTGTTAACCTAGACTGACATACCGTCTTCGCTCAGAATCGTTTTTCTTATACAATGATATTGTATCATTGAATTCAAATTTAATAGCATCAATTATACAGTGACCCACTTGTAACCTACTGTACAGCAGAGCGACATCCACTTACCCACCTTTTTTTAGTTTTTTTTCTATAAATATCAATAAAGTTTTATCTGTTGGGCCAAAAAGTGTAAAAATTTAATACAAGGCTCCTGATATATTGTTACAATATCAGTTGAAAAATATTAAAAATACATAGGCACGATTTTTTTTTATAAGCATTTAAAGTTGGAATTTTGACAAAATTTATCAAAATCTCGAAAATTATCAATCGTTAGAATTAAAAAATTATAAAATGGTCAGTTTTTATAACTAAGAGTTGAAAATTTAAAACAAAGATTCTCTTAAATAATTCATACTGTAACCAAAAAATCTAAAAAATATATAAACACACTTATTTTTTACAGACATTTTAATTTAAAATTTAGACAAAATTTCATATTTAAACCAAGAATTACGATTTTAGTTATTTTGTTGTGATTGAATAATATTATTCGTGGGTACTTGAAACTTCTAAAGTGTACTATTATATATCTATGATAGTATCATGGTTTTTGTTGATGTATAACGCGTTATAAGTATCTAATGGATATTGTGATATGATTAGTTTGGAATTTATTATAGGTACCTATTATAGATCAATTTTTTGTTTAATACCATAGATATGTATATAATATGTCTTATACATAGACTGACATACCGTCACCGCTCAGAATCGTTTTTTTTATACAATGATATTATATCATTGAATTCAAATTTAATACCATCCATTATACAGTGACCCACTTGTAACCTACTGTACAGCAGAGCGACACCCACTTTTTTTATTTGTTATTATGAATATTGAATATATTATTAATATATATTATATTATATATTATTGGAGGTATGTCGCATTAAGATTTAACACATTATATTTAATAGTATACAATTTGATAGGTACTATATAGGTATTGATATTACAGTATAAAAATAAAAATAATACCTAGTATAAAAACTCTAATTTTTCATTTTTATTACGCCTCCTAAATTCATAATATTTTAGACGCCCTAGGGCAAATTGTGTCTATATATTTTTAATATTTTTCAACTGCTATTGTAACAATATATCAGGAGCCAGCCTTGCATTACATTTTCAGTCATTATTACCTACAAAAAAATTGTATTGACAATTATAGAAAAAAAAACTAAAATAATTGAAAACAGACAATGTTTGTAAACAGGTCAAAATATTTTCAAAATGGTATGTAGAAAATAATGGTATGTATGGTGTATAGAAAATGAAAATGTATACATTTAGTGAAATTTTCATGTATTTATTCGTTTATGAATTACTACAAAATAACAAAATTGCTACATCAGAAATCGAGCGAATATCCAATCTTGTAAAAATATGAACTTCAAACGCTCATAAAAATTTAATTTGAATTTGCTTGTAGACATATTTTTTTTTATAAGTCAGAAAAACTTATGAGAAATCTTGTATTATATTTTCAAAAATCTTAGATTCAAAAAGAAAATTTTTCATGATTTTCTAACTCAAAATAATTTTCAAATTTTCGTCATTTTTACGTATTCTATCAATATATGAACTTTAAATGCTTATAAAAAAAAAATTTGACTGGATTTTTAATATTTTTCATCTGCCTTTGAAACAATATAGTAGGAGCGTTGTATTACATTTTCAAGCATTTTTACTCAACAATAAAGTTTTATTGACATTCATAGAAAAAAAGACTAATAAAATTGGAAACTGAAAATGTTCCTAAATAGTTCAAAACAATTTTAAAAAGTTTATCGTGTATAGAAAATACAAATATAAATAGGTAACCAGTGAAAATTCCATGTATATACGTTAATTTATTTTAGAGTTACACCAAATACCAAAATCGATATTGTGGAAAGCCGACTTTGAGTAAAAATTCCTGTTATTTTTTTATGTGAAAACTATTGAGAATTTAAATTTGACCTCCCGAATGCAACAACTAGATTCACTTTCCCACCGAACAAGATACTGTTGAAGAAAATCGAAGCAGTTTTACTGCCCCAAACCGTGATGACAGACACAACAAAAAATATAAATACACATCATTGTAAAATCAATACATTCATCGTTACGCTCAGAATCTAAAATATATCCCTCAAAAAAGTAACAAATAACTATTTATAAAAATAATTGTACACATTACTCATCCCTATAAAGATATAAGGAATTTGGTTTGATCACTAAAATTCGAGATTATATGAAAAATAATTTATGGTTAAAATAGGTGGTTACCGTTAATAAAGAGAAGTTGACGTATTACTATTTACTATGCACGAAACTTATAGGTATCCACAAAAGAAAAGTACCTTTCCATAATTTAAGAAATAACTACAAAATAGTATAGTAATAAAATGCATTATCAATTGTTAATTCTGTTAAAATGTAATTAATATTATCAATAAGTTTAGATGACCTTGTCAAGAACACACAATAAAAAAAAAAAAGTAATAAAAATAATATCGATTTCAGTTCCATATTTTAAATTAAATATAGGTGAACTATTTTCATATAAATTACTAGGTAAGTACACAAACAATATTCATGAATTGCTTGGGCAGGTTCACGTTGAACATTAAAAGTGAAGTTGGAAAAAAATAAAATGTAGACTTGTGTAACTAAAATTACGATGGTAACTAAAAACGTCAGTCGACAGTCACACTTCCTGCATTTGGGTTGCAGGTTACATATAATACATTTTTTAAATAACATAATTTTTTTTTAAAATATAAAATTTTTCTATCATGAAATAATTTCCTCAACCGATGTGTTATAAATAGAAGAAAATGGGTTTACAAGTATTATCATATATCGATTAGAATCGAAGTTTTGAAATTTTAAATCAGGGGACAGTTAAGAAATATTATAATTTTCTGTGGTATTTTGGTGACTTTGTTTTTTTATTATTTAATATTAAATTACGTTATAGAGATTTAGACTAATTATTATCAACGAGATAACAAATTATCGTGTTTTGTCTATATAAAAATATTAATACGTGATTTATGTATCACGTTTAATTTTTTTCATATAATCCTACATTATATTATAGAGATAGGTATTAAGTATTAACTATATAAGTATACATCTGTATTCTATATGTTAACTATATTAACCATCTTAATATAACATTTACTGTTGAAAACATAAACTGTATTTACTTGTATCTGTTCGAATGGCACTTCGAATGTGAACGACTCGTTGTAATATGGATTGAGGGTACACTTTTTTATACTCGTTTTCTTTTTCTTTAACCTTTTTCCATTTTGCATCAAAGCGATCTTCACGTACGGATCTACACAAAAACCATATTATATATTAAATAGTAATATATTATACCATGTCCATGTGAATTATAATCGAAAACTAAGATGACGCGAGTATAGAACAATTATTGTACGAATGCAGACGATGGTTTTTGTAGTACGGTTTTTACCTGAGAGTCCACCAACGTCCATTTTCTTTAAGTTTTTAGCTTCCAATATTACTACTGTAAGTTTTCCGGCAGTAGGCACGTAACGCAACGAGAAGCAAATGTCTCCCAGCTTGTTATCCTGAAAAAGGGCAAAACAGATAGTTTTAACGTCGAGGCGTGTTTGTATGTATAATCTTTCGAATCGGTACAAAAAAAAAAAACAATCCAATTTTCTAAAAAAAAAAAACAAATTGATTTTTTACACGGGAACTTGTACTAGGTAATACAGCATGTTCCAAATGATTTGTGCCACTAGATGTGAATTTTGAATCTAATGATGTTATATTATTATTATTATTGTAGGTCTTAAACGCTTTGGAATATTCAAATTCTAAGTATCCACTATACCTAAGTGTTTTGACATTCTACGCTATATATAAGGTCTAGCACCCTCTGCTCTATATAATATAATAATAAAAACAGTAATATTAGTATAACAACAATTAATTAATATAATATTTACTATAGGTCAATATATATAATATAATATGTATTATAGGCTATTCGTTATAGAACTTAATATTCTGTTTATAATACTATCCACACTATATTGTGCCTGGGTGTTTTGAGTCCAGGTTTTGTCAATACGATATCGTGTTTCATAATAAAATATTAAGAATTTTTTTTCATTTCCGATTAATGATAGTATACACTAAAGATTTTTAAGCATATATAATATAATACAATATTCGTAAATTAAAAGTAAAACAAATATAGTACACATTTTTTTACTTTTTAAAATTATTAGTCGCACAAGAAATTTGAATTTGATAGAACTATTGAAATATTAATTAATGAAAAACTAAAACAACTAGGTTTAACTTTCGATTCTCTATACGGTTTTAGTAATATTTTATTCTTAATGAACACATCGTATTTATAAAACATTAGCGTAATATAGTTATTATTATTATATTCAGCGCCATTAAATACCTACAACACAATTATACATACTATATAATATATATTCTAATAATATTATTTAATACTCTGATCCTAATTAAATCTAAAATAATATCATACCGTTGTTTTTGTACGTAAATGTTACTCAATGTCTATGTACAAAAACATAACCTTTAGATCATAACAATATATACGTGAAAATTTGCATGTTTCCAGAGAACTACTGTATAAAATAGTTTCGCTCACACTTGACATTGGTATCAAAGGTCGAACGATGTCGATGGATGTACATTTGTCATAAATAGTATTATGGGTAATAGGTACACTAACACGTTGTACAGTTTGAATTATTGGTCTTAACATAATATATTTGTTGGTTTTCGGCGGAAACGTACTAGCTAATATCGAATTAATGTACATTATATATTATTTTCATCTCTGCCAATGAGTAATTAATGAAATACTCAAATGATTTTTATGCACGCATGACCCATATTCGTTTTGAATAGTAACAGCTGAAATGGAAATAGTTTATTCCGCATTGCGTTCGGACGGAATGTCACTGTCTGATTATAAAAAGGTATTAAACAATAAAAATACATTTTTAAAAACACAGTTAGGTACCTAATGAAAACTATAATACTATAAGTTAATAGCTTTCTCGTCATTCAATATTGCAAAATGGTTGAAACGTTATGCCACGGGTGTCGGTAAACGAAAATTATCAATGTACCGATAGTATATTTTGTATGTATTATATTAATAATTTTAGTAATGTTTTATACATTAGTATTATGATTATTTAAGTTTATAAAACTCCATGTAATAAACTATGTTTCTAAAATACGTTCTTTAGGTCACTCTATATTTTGGGTTTTCATTGAAATATGTTGACAAATGTCAAATAGTATAATGATGCCTAAAATTAAATATTTAGACATTTAGTACCTACGTCATACAATTTTTGTGTAAGTACAAGGACATACGAAGAACACATATTTTATCGAAAAATTAATATTATCTTCTTTGATATAAATTATAAATGCGTATAATAATTGTACTATTTGTTGCTAGTACTTCATCAGTACTTCATCAGTTTTGGTACATTACAATAATTAAAAATCGTGAACAATTTATAAGTACAAAATAATAATACCTATCAGTCAGTATAAGTATACACAATAAGTAGGCATGCTTGTTTAATAGTGTTTGACTACCATGTGTCCATATGGAATTATGTATTATTGATAACAGGAAGAGTCGGCTGTTTATAGTATTTAATCTATGGCAAAAATGATTTACAATTATCAGAGTAGACACTTAAGTTTAACCGTAATTCAAAATGAGTGGCAAACGGTGGAACAGGAAAAGTTAATATGGTTGGTATAACCGGTATGGTTATGGTAAGCGGCAGTGAGTAGTTGGTACGATTTGTATTAAGTTCATTCACGGTGGTGGGGGGGGGGTGGGGGTCGTTTAGCTTTAGACCATTGATACCAACTCTGCGTCCGCGACACTCGATCACAACAACATAAATATTAAATATAAAGTCAACGCTAGTCGTCGACAAGGGAAAAACCGTGAAAAAGTCACGTCCATTTTCTTTCAACGAGAAAAACTGTCAAACGCATGAATATCTAAAAAAATATTCCTAGAACATCGAAAACAAAGGATTTAAATATACAACTGATGTATATATATATAAAAAAAAATAATAATAATAAATAAAAATCATAATATTAGCAGAACACCACAAAAACACGAGACACAGCACACATTTTGGTATGACACAGGGCTATATTTCGGCTGAGGAGGCCGTCGTACTTACGTGAGTATATATTTTTTACATTGTTGGTTTTCGTGGTGCACCGTGTTCCAAAAAAATCGGGTCGATTTTTTGTATTCAAACCAAAACAATACAAACAGAAAAAAATAACAAAATACAATGCTTGCGAACAACAATAGATAATAATATGAAAAAAATGTAGATGTAAAGAAGAAATAAAATATTGCAACAATATATAGGTATATATAATATAAATGTAAGTATAAATATATACAGGGTGTTTTTTTTTTAATCCGAACATCAGAATATTATAATATATAGCTTGTGAAATATTTGTAATTTTAGTTTTATTTTTCTTGAAGCTTTTAACCATAAACTATTCTAGATTTAGTAGGTAGGTACTCTGAATAAATTAGAATAATGTATAGTATAAAAAAACAATAATAAAACAAAAATTATAGATGTTCTTTGAAACATAGCCGGTTAACTTTAAAAAAAAACCCCGTACATACATATACTGCACATCACACACACACATATATTATAATATATCTAATAAATATAGGTATATTTGTACATAATATCATATATATGTGTGTGTGATAATATAATAATATATAGAATAGAAAAGTATTGCATGCTCGTCTTATACGAAAATCACTGATCCCAAAATTAACCAATGAATTAATTAAGTAGATAAAAATAAGGATTAAATTCAAACAATAGTTAAATATAAAATAAATATGAATTAGAGAATAAAACTAATATTATCTACCTATATGAAAATAGCCATGAAATAGTGTATTTTTCCTGTCCGCTGTAGATAGGTATGGAAAATTGCACATGTTATAATACTGATAAAGAGTATTGTACTAATTGGATATCATGATCCGATTGACAGTGGAATAAAATATTATCATAACAATATAATAATTTGTCTTTTAAAATGTTGTAGTTAGAAATTAGTATTTTATTCTGAAACGCTCACAAACGGAGGAATACTTCAATAGATTTTGATGAAGTTTTCTTGTAATGAAAAAATCATAAATTACTTTTGCGTGTACATAATTAGTACGACAAAATAATAATAATAATAACAATAATAATATGTTACTTATGGACAAGAACAATATAATAATATAAGAAAAGCTTATTATTAAAATACAATAGACTTTTATAAAAAAATCGCCACGATCGCTTTTTATTACTGACCTGTCCTCCTTCTCCTTCGACCGACTGCAGTTCTCTCCATTCTTCGATCGTCTGGGCCAAATCGATCTGACACAAGGGCACTTTTACTTCTCCTATCTGATCGTGCTTGGAGAACCGGTCGAAATCGAAAATGGCAAATACCAAAGTCTTGTTCATCGCATCTGCATAAGGTATCCCCTGAGGGACAGCGGAAAGAATACAGATAAAATAATGTATGCTTATATAAGTTACAACATATTTGTATTTACACATATACTGAAATTCAGATACCTAATACTGTGCATGCTTATACTATAGGTAGGCAATAGCGTAATTGGGAGTAACTATTTTTTTTTCGGAGGAAGGGAAAAATAGAATAAATAATTTTATCTATTTGTGGTTAAAAGTATAGAGGGGGGGAGGGGTAAGTGAGATCCTTTTACCCCTCAAATAATTTATCAATAATATAAATCTTATAATGATAAATTAGGAATTACATAAACATTGAAAATAATATTGAAGTTCAAGCATAATGCTTTAAAAAAAGTGTTGCAATATTCTATGAATTAGAGCTTAAAGCAATGGGCAAAACCTCATCTTTGCAGTCACTATATAAAACTATAGAGAGCACCTGCCCCCTTCATCCTTTGTTCAGAACAGATTACGCCCATGTTTAGGTGATTAATATTTGATTTTGGGTACGTTCATTCGTGATAACGTTTGAAGATGATAATAATGAATAAAAATACCTACGTACCTTGAACTGGAATGTTTCGTTAAAGACGGGATTCAGCGTTTTTCTGTGCACTTTTGTTTCGAATTTCTTCTTTTTGTCCGGTAATAAGTAGACCTTGACGTACGGGTCCGAAGTACCTCCCATGTCCAGGGCCGGCAGGTCTTCCGCTTGGATCACGGTCACGGAGAGAGTGTTTCCTTGGAAATCGTATTCCATCTGTAACATGTGCATCGTGTTTTGCCCCATGCCTCCCGATTAGAAAAAAAGTCTAATTATAGACATATTATTACTGTGCAGTTATACCTTGAACTGTAACCTTCCCAACTTTTTCTCGTCTTTCGTACTGTCTCCTTCTTCCGCGATTTCCTCCGCATTGTCAGCCAATTCTTCCATGTCTGGTTGTATCTGAAAAATAATTACCAAAATTATACTTTCAGCGGTATTAAATGTTTGTTTTCTCAATGTTCTTGTTATATTATAGTGCTTCGAAAGTAGAATTTGGATACATTTGTATAGTATGATCAGTTTTTTTTTTTATAGAATTCTATAAATAATTTAATATGTTTAACGAGTTTAATAGAATGGAGCTACAGCGTTAAATATCGATACATGTATAATTTTTTATTACTTATTACTTCCTATGGATTATAATGTTTAATAATTTATACTGGTATCAGATACCATAAAACCCTAAAAATTATCATAAAAATATGACGAAGATTCGAATATTCTAGTCTTCATGAATCATGAATAATACATTATAATCACTTTATTTTCAAAATTAATTAAACGTATAATAAGACTATAACTTATTTTATGTGGTTATTCTGAACAATAGTGTCGAAAACGGAATGACACAATTTTTTTTTTTGATATTTGATGAAAAGTACCTGTAATATTGAAATACATTCAAATGATTCAAAATTATTAGTACATATAATATAACCAATATGGCCTCATGGCCTCCTGCCCCTCCACCCACCCCCTTTAAAACGTCATTGGATTATGTTGTCTAATTTTTTTAGAAATCCTTACTTTTTCTTTGTAGGCTGAACCCAATAGTTGGACAGCCTTTAGATCCACGACCGCCTTTTCCCTTTTTTGCCATCTTGGTTCTTCCCCTTCGCTTCCTGAAGAATTTGTGTATGCCAAAGCCCACGAATCCGACCAGCTAGTAATACTACCCGCTATTACACATTATATTATATAAGAACAATAATTAAATGAAACGAGTATTGTACTAAATATGTAAATTTGTTTACAGTAATTTACAGAAAACTGTTACTGACCTGAAATTATAGACCCAAGACGCCCATGGTGGCATTTCCGAAATATCCGTCGGAGTCAAGGTGTTTGGAGTGGACGTGATGAACGGTATGCTCGGCGTCCTCAAATCTTTGTCTGAGAGTTTAGTTTCTGCACATAAATAAAAATTTAGTGGAATCAGTAAGAAAAAATATAGCACTGTTTTATGGCATACAGTGGCCTACTTAAATATTCGTTTTATCCAATTTACGACCTAACAGAGCGATATATTGTGTTTGTTTCACACTAGCCACGGTACCACGTGTGTGTGTTGTGTATGTGTGTGGGGGGGAGGGTTAGTAAAGGGAGTTTAAGATTCAGCCAAGATATATATCAAGGCTTGCAATAAAAATTTCTGCAAAAGCCGTTTCAATATAAACTGCCTCCTTTGTATTATTGACCCATCGCAAAATGCGAGACACGCGCTTTTGTGACATTTTTTTTTTAATGTTATGTATTAGGTACGCGAGTGTATTATATAGATTATAGGTATAACCATAAAACAAGTCCAATTATTTAAAAAGTTTCATTTATGTTTAGTTATTTTTAACGAACCAATCGTGAACGAACGGAAATATAATAATTTATAATAACGAAGGTTGTTGTATATATATTATATAGGTTGGTGGTAGTATACGTGCAAGCGACAGGCGTTTTTTGAAAATATCAATAAATCATTTCCAGTACATTTCTTAAACAGCTCAGCGTATTTTGAAATTTGACGGGGTCGTAATGTAATAATATAAACTATATGCGAGATGAAAAATTGCGGCTGAGACCTTAGATGAAATTATCATATTATTTTACTGCACACGTGACTGCATGGTTTTATATAGGATGTAGCATTTAGGACGTGCTCGATGTTTAGGTACTGTGTAGGCTGTCAATTGTCATGTACTCACTTAAGACATCTACGTTTTCTAGCTTGGAACTCATTGTCGTCTCGGCGTATCCGGTGCCGTCCAGGACAGGCGTGCCCTGTCTGGCTGACTGGTCGAGCCCCTGGGCTGACGTACCGCCAACTGTCTTATTTTCGCCGATCGCCAGACTTGGAGGCGACGTACCCGATTTGTCTGCTGAATCGGATCCATCGGTCGACTTGTCCACAGGTGCCATATTTTATCCTGAAACGAAATACCATTGTTATGAAAAAAATTATGAGAATGGTAGTAAACACTTAACCGATATCCATATAATATACCGAGGATATATTATATAGGTAGTATAACTAAATCGAAAATCTATTTAATTATTCATTATTGACTATTCCGATGTTGTATAACCATGGTATAATCAAAATTCGACAAATATACACACGGTTTGTCAATGATAATATTATATGTCGACCTATGGTATTTTATTTTGAGTGTCTATACCAAAATATTTAACTTACAGCTATTTCAATAATTCTAATAAATAAATCTTTGTCTAACGCTCCCTGGTACGTTATAGACCACACGCTACACCTCCACCACCTCAACATCCAAACAATACACATACTCACATCCCATTACTATGTGAACAATTTCATATAAACATTTATAATCACCCATATTATCCTCTTATTTCCAATCCTGTTTCTAACACAGTACCAGAAGGGACGAAATCTTACTCACCCGTTGTCTCAAAAGAAATTCGGTATTATAGTATCCTCTTTACATAAAAAAATGAAATTAAATAAATTCCTGAGTACCTATTATATCAGATGTAGTGACATAAGACGTTTCCTTCATTCATGCGACCATGTCTTGGATTTGTTAATTAAACAACGATTTTAGTCATTGTATATTTAATTTATTTTTGGCAGGATTGTATATATTTTCTACTTTGAATAAATAAAATCATGTTTACGCTCAGTTTTTGTTGTAGTTTCCCGAACTACTGGTCAAAACCTGTAAATCTTCAGAGTTAGGTCATTTATGGCTTTCATTACACACGTGTTCTATGACATTCTTATGACATTTTGTAGAACGCATTGAACTTTAATAATGTGTAACGGGGTTTACTACACTTTGTAAAGTAATAAACTATAATAAATAACTCAGTAATTTAATTTCATACACGACCAGGAGAAACGGTGTTTTCCCCAATATATATAAAATTCCGTAGATGTTTTTTCTTATTTTTTTTTTATATCAGTACTTCTTCTTATTTGTAGTGGTCGGCCTTCAAGACCAGGGGTCTCCAAACTACGGCCCGTGTTCCGGATAAGGCCCGTGAACAAGTTTTAACCGGCCCGTGGCCCGCATAGGACGCATTATAGATAAAAAAATTATTTCAAATATGTATATATATATATTTATTTTTATTTAAGTATATTGTAAAGTAAACAATATTTTATACAAAAATATAAAGTAAACATATTATTTATACAGGTACTTATATTATCATAAAATTAAAAATGATGTGTTAATATAAATTTACAAAATCTAAGTAATCGAATATTATAATCCTGAAGTAAAAATTTAAAAATTCCAACAATCAGAATTTGAATAAATTCATAATTAAAAGCAAATTGGGTTAAACATAGTTAAATCACTCTGAAGGTTTACTCACAAATGTTATGATTGAACATTTTTTAGTTCCTTTTGAAAATATTTTTAATTTATAATTTATTAATTATTAATTCAATAGTATTAGCTAATATAGTTTAAAATGGTTATTATATTAAAATAATATTGTAATTAAAATAATTGACATCATCCCAATTCCTAATTAATAACCATTTTTGCATTAGTTAAAAATATAATGTGTTAAGTGTTAATCATAAATCATAATCAAATGAATGAGATCAATATAATTTATTTATAAAGATAATTTCAATCAGTTAGAGGTATATGATATTTAATAGAAAAAAATTCTCGAAAAAAAATAACAAAAAAGTTTCTGCCGAAACCAGGGATCGAACCAGGGACCTTTAGATCTTCAGTCTAACGCTCTCCCAACTGAGCTATTTCGGCTTCATGACGTCAACATGATTTTGAGCCTATTTTAACAATTACGCAATAGGTATCTACTAGATTATTAGACAGTAAAACACAAAATCGAAAGCCTACGTATGCATTGAGTTTGGTTTGAGTTGTAGCCATGATTATGATATGGCCACAACCTGGGTCAAGGGAGTTCGCAGGAATTTGTCAAGTGGATTGCAAAATATTTTCATTTTTACATTTTTTGTCTCCGCCTATACCTACTATTAGTTATAAAGGATTTTTGTGACATGTTTTCTTTATTATAGATAAGGAATGTAAAAATATTTATGAATTATATGTACATAGTTAGTTAAACTTAATCTTACAGCATTAATTTTAATTAATTGTTATGTAATTTTAAATTATAAAATACATTATTTTATAATAAATAAAATGTTACCGTTGATTTTATAATTTTAGGTAATTTATAAAATTAAATATTTCTAGCTTATTCAGTCATTGAAACCACAAACTTGAAAAGTTGTAACTATTGTAGGTATGTCGTATGCCATCTATAAACATTACATTTTTTTCTTGAAACTGCAGTAGGTATTGCACTTGGTCTACATATCATAATCTATAAAAGCAACGTTCTTACTACGTTTCTGACTCTGAATCGAGTGTAATAAAATCACTATGTAAAAAAAAAGATGTTTTTATATTTAATTTAAAAATGTTTATTTTGCGATATTTTATATTACAACAGTAATGATTTTTTCCAAATCTTCTAGATAAGTATTCTTTTTATAACATACCTATATTGAATTTTTGAAGATCTTAAATTTTAAGGTCATATTTCGCATTTAAAGATTTTTAGAGCATTTTTAGATTTTCACATGTTTTTACATGATTTTTATAATAAATATATAATCTAAAGTCTAAACCTATAGGTACAGAAAAAAAAATAGTTAATTTTCAGATTAAATAATTAGTCCAAATGATAAGTTCTATCTGTAAAACTTTTATACAATTATTTAAAAGTTTTAAATGTATATTAGAATGTATATCTTTAATATTAAAAATAAAAAGGTGGGTAAGTGGATATTACTCTGCTGTACAGTAGGTTACAAGTGGGTCACTGTAATGGATGGTGTTAAATTTGGATTCAATGATAAATATTATTGTATAAGAAAAACGATTCTGAGCGAAAACAGTCAGTCACAGCCTATGATATTACTAAGTATATTAATTGATGATATTATTGCGGATAAAGTAATTTATATATACATGTTCAATCCTTAGCTATAAAAGTTTAACATTTTATAAATTTTTAACCACAAAATAATTATTAAATTTTAAATTTGATAAATTTTGTAAAATTTGAACTTTAAATGCTTATAAAAAAAAATTGTGCCAATGTATTTTTAATATTTTTCAACTGCTATTATAACAATACATCAGAAGCCTTGCATTAAATTTGCACGCTTTTTTGCCCAGCAAATACAATTTTATTGATGTTTATAAAAAAAAAACTAAAAAATTTGAAAACTGCAAATGTCCGTAAACAGCTCAAAAAGAGTCAAAATATTTTTAAAATTGTATGGTGTATAGAAAATGGTAAAATAAACATTCAGTGAAATTTTCAAGTATCTACAGTCATTCGTTTTTAAATTACGACAATATAAGAAAATCGTTACATGAGAAATCGAGTGAATATCAAATGTTGTAAAAATTAGAATTTCAAACACTCATAAAAATTTAATTTGACTTTCTTATAGACATTTATTTCTTGATAAAGGTAGATAATCTTATAAGAAATATTGTATCACATTTTAAAATCTTAGATTTAAAAACAAAGTTTTTTATGAACTTCTAACTCGAAATAATTTGCAAATTTTCGTCATTTTTAGGTATTTTGTCAATATTTGAACTTTAAATGCTTATAAAAGAAAAATTGTGACTATGGATTTTTAATATTTTTCATCTGCCTTTGAAACAATATACTATCAGCCTTCTATTAAATTTTCAAGCTTTTTTAATCAACAAATAAAATTTTATTCATATTTTTAGAAAATAAAACTAAAAAAAATGGAAACTGAAAATGTCCGTAAACAGCTTAAAATAAGTGAAAATATTTGGAAAATGTTATGGTGTATAGAAAATGCTAATATAAAAATGTAGTCTAAATTTAATTTATCTAAGGTAATTTGTTTAAGAGTTGCGCCAAAAACCAATATCGATTTTTTCGAAAACTGATTTTGTGTAAAAATTCTAGTTTTTTCTTAATTTTTATGTTGTTTTTCCCGGCGCTTTTGAAAAATATTTTAAATTTTGACCTTTCCAATCGCACCAATAATATTCACTTTCCCATCGAACAAGATACTGATGTTGAAAATCGAAGCATTATTTCACAAAAAAATAAAAAAAAAACACACTTCATTGTAAAATCAATACATTCATTGTTTCACTCAGAATCTAAAGTAATTTAGTGCACTATTAAGAATTGTTAGGGAATTTTTTAGTTATTTAGGACATAAAATCATCAATAATAATATATGATAATCAACCCAGGAAAAGCCATCCTCCTGCGGACGCCCTTGCCCCGGGTTAAGTAAAAATTAAGCCAAGTTTTCTAAAGTTTTCATGTATAAATAATACATTTATAAGGGGAAACAATGTCAATGCAGTGAGGGGTTGGTTTAATCATCCAAAACCCCTCTGGCTACGCCACTGGTTGTACCTATTGGCTATTGAGTATAAACTATAGATTGTAATACCTATAGTAGTAGTAGGTAATACTTTATTATAATACTTCTAACCGATCTATAGTTATATTATTTAATATACCTATACGTACCTACCTATTTGAGTAGGTACCTACCTAAAAAGTATTTTAATACTTTAAATCAAGCACTTTAGTCTTTAAAGACTGCCTATATAGGTAAGTAATATTATAGTTCAGGTATAGTGACGTAGTTCTACATAAGAATACATTTTAAATGTTCCTATTGGCAATTGAAAGTGATAAGATGTAACGGGGACGCTGTGTATCATTTATAAGTTATTTTACATGTTCTCCGTTACAGATACACCCCCCCGCTGGTCTGATAATTGATATGCTTTCAATCGCCAATACATAAACGATTTTTACAATCTCTAAATTTAAGTATGACAGGTACCTACTTTTAATTGGTGTAAAAAGTA